ACTTGCATTGTAACTTGGGTCGCCAAGTGTCGACACGTGACAATGCAGAGGCATAGTCATCACAGCAGAGACAAACGGCCAGACAGACAGACAGACAGACAGGCAGGCAGGCCGGCGGGCAGGCAGCAGAGACAGACCCACACTGACGCGAGATCCTGTTTCCTACACACATCCATCGTTGCTGAGCCCTCAGTGGGGCGCGGCGGGGCGTGGCCACCGGCATTGACGGCTCCTCTTTCCCTTCCTCCAGGATTAGTTTGCAGACATGACTCGTAGCGGCCCGTCCAGGCTACTAACGCCGCCGTCGCCGCTTCCTCGGTCCTCCACGCCTCGGAAGGCCGGAACCGGAGGTGTGAAAACCCGGTCCCTCTTTTCCGGGGGTGGCGCGGCGAGGGATTGCGAAATAATGGAAATAATTCGCGTGCAGTGGAGTAGGCCTGGCCGCCGGCATCCCCCCGGCGAGCTGAGCCACCCCGGCCTCGGCCTCGGCCACGGCCTCGGCCACGGCCTCCCGCGCGGCTGAGCCTCTGTCCTGTATTTTATAGCCTCCGCCAAAGTTGGCCGGGCTAAGGTGCAAATTATTGCGCGGCAAACTTGTCCCCGGCGAGTTCACGACGACGGCGGCGCCGCCAAGTACAGCGGCATGGCGGGGCGCCGCCGACGACGACGATGACGACGTCTGCGGACACGGCGGACACGGCAAGGCAAAACAGACTCGCGGCTCCGGGCCGTCACCATTGGACCGCAGCGGGTGCCCTGCCCGTCCCCGCCGATGAACCCTGCCCCCCTCCAGCATGGCCCCAGCATGGCCCCAGCATGGCTCCAGCCACACCGCGGGTTCCTTTACTGGCAGAGAATAACCGGAGACGCTCGCCGCCCGCGCCGCGGCCTCCATTCCGACTGCCTTACGACTGCGGCGCACCGCCACCGCCAGCCCCGGCAGCCCCGGCAGCCCTCGGCCAGCCCGCCCCATCACGGCCGCATTAACATTGCATACACGTACCGAGGTGAGATCAATCCTAAATTGCGTTTGCTCGTTTTGCTCGGTCCGAACCGCAGCGGGGGGCCGGTCCGGCCGGGAGGGGCGGGGGCTGGAATTGCCCGGTGTGCTTGCTGTCCGCCCCAGAGTCCGGCGGGCCCTCTTTGATGATGATTGTGAGGGAAAATGAGCGGCAGAGCCAAAGGTGGCCGAAAGCGGCCAAAGGTGGCGGCAGAGGTCGTCGCGGACGAGATGCGGATAATTCGAGAGAAAAGGCAAACAACAAAACGGACACGCAAAAAAAAGTACGCGGCATCTGGCCGGCGGCGCCGCGGTGCGCCGCGCAGCCCGCCCGGTCCGCGGCGTCCATTTGTTTGGCGGCGTCGGGCTGCGGCGCCGCGGTGCCGCGCATGCACATGAATAACCAAAGCCGCATTACTTCGGGTATTTACGGAACCCGACCGCCGCCAGCCAGGTGAGGGACTTGCTGTCGCTCTTGTTGTTGTTTTTAGTGTTTGTTGTTGCTGCTGCTGCTGTCGATGACGCGCACGTCCTGCCCGCCACACCGAGAAAAAGGAGGTGGAGGCGAGGACTGTCGCGGTATATGAGCACCTTTATCATTTAGGGCGGAGGCGCTGCGTGGCTAGCCGCCGTCGTGCAGTGCAGCAGTCCCTCGAGAAGGCGCTAGCCAGCCACGTGACCAACGCGACCACGCCGCGCGGCCGATACCACGGACGGCGCCATGGTGGACACCCGCTTCATGTCGCTTACGTCGAAAAAATTCGGCCCCCGGGCGGGACGTGCGCTCCATATCTCCCGCGCGATGTTTTTCCCGGGTCCCCCGGCGAGGGCCAGGCCGTCTCGGGGGCCGTCCGGGACTCGATCCGGCGTCCAGCGGCACCAGCAGCACCAGCAGCCGGCGGCAATGGCTGTCTGGCGTGACCAAGACACTGGAAGGGGACGGGGTGACGCGACGGCCTTTGTGTCCAGGGCAGTGGCAACGCACAGCAAGCGGACAGCAGCATCATTCGCTCGAAACCGAGCAAATTTAATCCGCGAGCCGAAGACACTCAGCACGACTGCGAGGTGTCTCCGCATTCGGCGCGCCGCTCGCCCAGCCAGCCAGACCCCTGCACTGGGTAGCTCGGACTCCTGCAGGCCCCTCCCCTCCGCCCCTGGGCGCCCTGGGTCCACAGTCCATAAGGACGCGACGAGGGACGCTGCATAAGAAAGGCTGTCGTTCGCGCCCTTCTTTGGAAATCTCCGCACCAGTTCCCCGTTGGACTGCCTTCCTACTCGGTCGGCCCGTCGTCTTCTCCTCGCGGAATGTTTGCGAGAGGCTGCCGACTGCGGTGCCCGCCGTGCCCGCCGCGCTGCGGTGAGGGATGCGGGGGAGGGGGAGGGGGGCGTGACAGGGAAAAAGCGGCTATTCCTCAGCGACGCGTTGAGGGCGCGTAGGCGAGGGGAGGGGGAGGCCACCCACGTGACCAACATACAGTCCGTCATAAGGGCTGCGTTACTGAGGATGGCCCGCTCCGCCTCACGGCACCTCACGGCCTGTCCAAGGAGAAGCAGCGCATCTGTCGAGGCCGACCAACCCAGTTAGCCTGCTTTTGGCCCTTGCCTCGAAGGGCCGACCTCCACGGCCCCTCCCCTCCCCCCGCTGCGGCTCGCCACAAATATTGGCTCAGAACAGCACAACTCGGGCCGACTCGGCCAGCGGCCCGGACAGCGGACGGAGGGCGGCCCAGAGGTGGACGCGCTGCAGTGGCAGGATTCCCCGTCAGTCTGTCTCTCTCACGCCCAAGCGAGACACCCTGTGGGTGCGACAGAGACACACGGCGCGCTCGGAACCAAGTCCCTGGCCGACACGCACCGCCCCGCCCCCTCCTCCCTCTGCATCTGCTCCCGCCGCCGCTTTTTCCAAAGACTCCCCAGCGCATTTCTTTTCTTTTTTCGACCCCTTTTCAGCCCCCTGACCCAGTTCGCACTTCGCCCGGTGCGGCGCTGCGTCCTGCTGTGTCCTGCCCGACGCCACCCAGCCGGTCGCAGAGTCGCGGGGCGTCGCGGGGCGTCGCGGTGCAGGCTGGCCGAAAGTGGGTGTAAAACAGTAACGCAAGCAAGGAGGAAATTGCGGAGGAAATAGCGCGGCGGTACGGAATGGTCGTTATCCTGGGCTGAGCGCGGTCAAGGTGAGCGAGGCCGGTCGAGGCCGTGCAGAGCGTCCTCCAGGTGGCTCCAGCAGCGCCGCGGCAAGCCAGGCAAGCCGAGGCCGTTCCAGACAATCGCCTACGTGCGTTGGCGGCGCGGCGGCGCCTCCGTTCGCGAGTGGAGTCACTGGCGGCGGCGGCGCGGCGGGTCGTTCTGTCGAGGATGCGCCGCTTCCGGTCCGGAGCCCCGAGGAGGAGGCCGAGGAGGCTGAGGCCGCCGGAGGTAAAGAACAAAGAGGCCTCGGAAAAAGAGGATCCTGAGAAGGAAAGGCCCTCCCTGGCCCGGCCGACGCGCCTGGCCGTTGACATGCAGTGTTCTTAGTGGACAAGGGGCGCGCTGTTGCCAGAGCCCGGCCGACGAGGACGACGACGCCCTGTTTGGTGTCGTGGGGGCTGTTGGCTCTGGCTCGCCCCGCCCGCCCCGCCGGGCCCGCTTCCTCGGAGACGGCGGCGGACCGCGGGCCGTCCGACGGCCCGACGCAAGTTCCAACTTGTTTCTGGGACGGTGCGTGACTGTGTGCCGGGCACTGCCTTGCCCGCGTGGTGAGGCTGCGCCGAGGGCCGCGCCAGCGGGGCGGGAGTGGCTGGAAATTGTGTTATCCCCGGCCCGGCCGACGCCGTGCTGCCGCGCTGCCGCGCGCTCACCCACGCAGGCAATCACTCGGGACAAGGTTCCTTTAATAGGGCGTCGCCGTTTACCTGCGGCCAGACGCCCTCCTCCTAAAGCTTGCGCCGCCGCAGTGTCACCGCGCGCCCCGCCCCGCCCCGCCCCGCCCCGCCCCGCCCCGCCCCGCCCCGCCCCGCCCCGCCCCGCAACCGGCGCCGAGGGTTAAAAGGAGGGAACTCCATCACACGTCCTTATGAATTAATTAGGCTTCGCTGCCGTCCCCCCCCCCCATCTCCCCCTTGGCTTTCACGGCAGCAGCATTACACTTTATGGATCGTTTTAAAAGCGAAATATATCCCGGCGTGGCGTGGCCGGGCGTGGCGCGCCGCGCTACACATTTTCATATACACTGTTTCCCTCTCTTAACCTCCCCCCGCCGCCCCTCCCGGCGGGGCCCTCATTTCCCTGTACTTTCCATCCATCCATTCATCCGCCCCCCTCCCCCTCCCCCTTGATGGCGCTGTCGTCCGGCGGCGAGATGCACTCAATCTGAAGGGAGCCAATTTTGGCGCACGTCAACAGCTTACTTTACGGCCCACTTGAGTGGCTCGGGGACGGCGGCGCGGCGGCGCGGCGGCTGGCTGGCGTCTTCGACGACATCCGCATCCGGGACGGCCGCGAGAACCATGAGACGAGACGGCCGGAGAGCAAGCCGAAGGCAAACACTCATTTCCATGTCTGCCGCGACTGCACTGGGAATCCAGCAGTGACGTCACGGCGCGAATCGTGCCGCGTTCGTTAGAGAACCACGCCACAGTCACTTTACAGTGACGCGACTCCGTGCCTGCCCTGGCTTAGCCGTTCACATTCACACTTGCACGGGCGTGACGTCACCGTTGGACTCGCAGTGTCGGCGCGGCGGATGGAAACAGTGTCTCGTGGACAACAAGAACGCGAGCTGCGGCGACGGCGGGGCAGTAAAAGACTCCGAGGTGCGTCGCGGCGAGTGCGTCGCGGGAAACGGCGGCAAACCGCGCGGCAAACAGTGCCGAAAAGTGGGGGCGGAACGGGGCCAGATTCGCGCTCGTTTTTGAAGGCGCGCGGCGGAGCGTAGCCATTCGTCTGGCCAGCAGACGCGCTGCACAGAAAAAAAGGAAAGAAAAGAAACTAAAAATAATACATTGTTTTGCTTCCTTGTTTGCAGTGGTGCCCACGGCGAGCGCGCTGCGCTGCTTCCAGTGCGGCTTCTACACGGACGGCGTGGGCTCCATCACGCCCTGCATCAACTACACCGTGGAGCTGCACCTCAAGGAGTGCCCCAAGGAGAAGAGCAAGAGCTGCCTGGTGAGTGGCCGCGGCCCGCGGCCCGCGCGGCCGTAGTCGAGGGCCCCTGCGGAGTCGAGGGCGGGCCGCCCGCCGAACGCGCCTGCGTCGCGCACCGGTGTGTTGCCTACCTCGCCGGGCTGTAGGCTGCGGGCGCCTCCTCCAGCCTCCTCCTCCCGGACTCATCGTCCCCTCCACTAGTTATTCCTGCCAGACCGACCAGCGGCTCCGAAAGTCGCTCTCATCACTCTGTCTCTCTCGCACTCGTGGGGCGTCCCGTAGAGGTGCGAGAGGGAGAGAGAGCGAGAGCTGGGCGGAATGAGTCTTCAGGCCACCGTGGCCATTTCCTTCGCGCTTCCCCCGCCGCGCCACTGGAAATGGTTTTGTCTCACGACGGCACGCATTCGGCCGCCTCGCCTCGCCGCTCGGCTCAGCACGGCGCGGCACCTTACCCCCTCTCATTGAATTACACCCTTCACTGGCATTGTGCAGTCGCACGGCTCGGCTCAGCACGGCGCGGCGCGGCACGGCACGGCCTTGCGTTACTCTACCCGACTCCCTCCTCATGTCTGCCCCCGGTGTGTCTACAGCGCGCAGGGTGCCTTGTCCGCGCTCAGGTGTCGCCCCCCCCCCTCCCCCAGCCCCTCCGCCCCTTCATCCTTCGTTGGGGCAGGGATCACACCGGGACGTGTTCCCATATCCCGGCCCGGTTACCCCGGCCACCCCGGCCACCCCGGCCACCCCGCGGTGGAACGGCCGCCCACATTCCGCCGCGCAAACTTCTGTGGAGCGCGAAATTGGGATTTATGAAACGGCGAGGATCGGGGGGGTCTTGTGCTTCCGCGGGAGAATTGGTGGTGATGACAGAGCCGATTGGCTGGCCCGCTGGGGGTATTGGGGGAATACGCGATTCCGGGCCGGGCCGCCGAGCCGCCGGGCCAGGCTGGTGAGCCAGGCAGGCCAACCCCTGACCTCCACACCCCTCGCCGTCCCGTCCCACCCCACCCTGTACGCCACCCATGTCTCGACAGCCCCCGGAGGCCTTCTGACATCCTGTCCAGACCCCTTCCTCTTCCTCAGGCCACGTGTATTTCGCGACCTCATTACTCGAACTGACCCCACATCTTTTTTTAACTCGCCTCTCGGGCTCGGCCCCGCTGGCGGCGCGTAGCGTGCCGCATCGGGGGAGTGTGGACGCCGGTGTGTTGGCAGCACTGCGCGTGCCGCTGGAGGGCGCTGGGTTGGCAGCCCTGGGCGGGCTGCGCGGGCTGTGCGGCCCAGGACGACGCTGTGTCGTCTGCTTTTACATGCGTTGGCGGCCCGCCAGCCTCCAGGGACCCCGTGCAGCTCTACCCCGCCCCGCCCCGCCCCGTCCCAGCGGCCACTTGGGCCCTTCTTCGCTTCCTGCTGGCTCGCCGAGGGACCCACCCGGACCCACCCGGACCCACCCGGACCCACCCGGACCCACCACCTTGCCAGGGAAGCTTCACTTTCAGGCCGGAACACCTTTTCAAAAGCATGCGACCCGCTTTCTACGGCGCTCCACGATGGTCACGATTGCTGCAGGGTTGCCCGGGCGATGCTGGTGTTGTTGTTGTTGCTTTCGTCGTCGTCCTCCTTGTTGTTGTTTTTGTTGTGCGTGCAAGCAGGATGGCGGCAGTAGGCTCGCTGCAGGAAGGCAGGCAGGCAAATTGACGACAGTTTGAGAGTTCCTGCTTCGCCTGCTCCACGCGTCCGTCCGCCGCGCGCCGCGCACCGCCACCCGACGAGCACCGCAGTCTTCTTAGCGAACGCCTTGTTTGGCAGGGCCTGTCAACATGCAGCACCGTGCGGGAATTAATAGCTATTCGCTCTCCTCGCTGTGTGTGTGTGTGTGTGTGTGTATTGGCACACGAAGCCGCAGCAGTTCACCTTGAAGCGTCGCGCGGCGCTGCGTTGTGTTGGCGGCGTGCGATAGTCTGCGGTCCGTCGTGTATTCTTACTTGAAATCAATGACTCGGCGACCTCGTGCTTTTATGGTGCACCGCCTTTCACCCCCTCGTCCCTCTCCTTTCCCCGCCTTCTTTGAAATGGATCGGCAAAACTTTGGTCCTTGATGGATGGCGCGGGGCGGCTGGGTCGGGACGCTGCCAATCGGAGGAGCTTGGCCGGGAGGGTGTTTCGGCAACGGGTCAGCATTACCTGACCCGACTATAGTGGCCCATCGCTTTCCCGTGCCGCGAAACTGCGCGCCAGCTCCGACCGTTTGAACGAAGGCCCGCGACCACACTAAACTGCCAAACAGTATTTACACAGAAAACTGCGTTACACAATGTTGGCGGCATAAACACAGGGCTTTTCTTTTTTTCTTTTCCCCCCTCTTTGTTTGCGAAGAACGCGGGAAGTTTCCGCGGAAACGAAATGCAGCCATTCGCTTTTTACAAGAACGTAATTGTATTGGAGTTTGCGGATTACAACTCGATCCCGGACTCGGCCACCGCAAGAAAAGGAGAAAAGGAAGAGAGAGAAAAAGAGGGGGTACTTTTATTGGTCCGTCCGCCCCGTCGCGTCGCCGGGAAAGTTTATTCGCTGGCCAGCGGATTGTGGCGGCGTGTTCAAAGAACGTTCAAAGAACGGAGCAAAATGCCGCCATCGGTGCGGACCGGGGCGCCAGGGACGGCGGACTGCACTGCCACGTCATCGTCGTCGTCCTCGTCATCCTCTTCGTCGTTCCAGGTGGTGAAGGAGTCGGGGCCGGGACAGCGGGACAGCGAGGACGCCAGGCCTCGCCTCGCCCTGGGCGCTGATTCGGAGAGACCGGCCCACCGATTTGTGGGCAGCGGGCACCGCAGGCTGGATCGGGGTGGCTGGATTGCCCCTGACAAACTGAGGGCCAGGTCAACTCGGGGGTAACTCGGGGGTAACTCGGGGGTAACTCAAGGGGAAGTCGGGGGGAAGTCGGGGGGAAGTCGGGGGGAACTCGGGGGGAACTCGGGGGGAAGTCGGGGGAAACTCGGGGGGAAGTCGGGGGGAACTCAGGGGCAAGTCGGGGGGAACTCAGGGGCAAGTCGGGGGGAACTCGGGGGTAACTCGGGGGCAAGTCGGGGGGAACTCAGGGGTAACTCGGGGGCAAGTCGGGGGGAACTTGATCGACTCGCCCAAACACTAGAAATACGCTCCAAACTAGCACCGTTGCCTTTGTCTCGTTGCCCCGATTCTAAAAGTGCCCCTACTTGCCCCTCTAGCTTAGCGGTTCCCTACCTTGGGGTCGCGACCCCAAATGGGGTCGCGAAAAAATTTTGAGGGGTCGCGGCGAGGTGGCTGGGGTCGCCTGGGGTCGCGGTGGTTTCCCGGCTGGCCCACACGCCGAGCACTGGCTGCTTAAATGCCGCAAAGTTGATCAAAACGGTCACAATGTGTGTAAAAGATCGTGTTTTGGGTCGACTTTAAGCATCCACTGCTTCTGATCCGAGGCGGTAAATCGCCCTCCCTCAACGGGCAATTGGTCTTTGGACCTTCCTTTTGCATGCCTTTGTTACGGAGTGCAATTATCTGCCTCAGTTTGGAAGCAGTACTGCCGCAAAGTTGGTCTAAACAGTCACAAATGTCTGTGAAAAATCGTGTTTTGAGCCGACTTTAAGCATCCACTGCGTCTGGTCCGAGGCGGTAAATCGTCCTCCGTCAACGGTCAATTGGTCTTTAGACCTTCCTTTAGCATGCCTTTGTTACGGAGTGCGATTATTTGCCTTAGTTTGGGAGCAGTTTTGCCACAAAGTTGATCAAAACACGATTTTTCAGACATTTGTGACCGTTTTGATCAACTTTGCGGCAAAACTGCTCCCAAACTAAGGCAGATAATCGCACTCCGTAACAAAGGCATGCTAAAGAAAGGTCTAAAGACCAATTGCCCGTTGACGGAGGACGATTTACCGCCTCGGACCAGACGCAGTGGATGCTTAAAGTCGGCTCAAAACACGATTTTTCACAGACATTTGTGACTGTTTAGACCAACTTTGCGGCAGTACTGCTTCCAAACTGAGGCAGATAATTGCACTCCGTAACAAAGGCATGCAAAAGGAAGGTCCAAAGACCAATTGCCCGTTGAGGGAGGGCGATTTACCGCCTCAGATCAGAAGCAGTGGATGCTTAAAGTCGACCCAAAACACGATCTTTTACACACATTTGTGACCGTTTTGATCAACTTTGCGGCATTTAAGCAGCCAGTGCTCGGCGTGTGGGCCAGCCGGGAAACCACCGCGACCCCAGGCGACCCCAGCCACCTCGCCGCGACCCCTCAAAATTTTTTCGCGACCCCATTTGGGGTCGCGACCCCAAGGTTGGGAACCGCTGAGCTAGAGGGGCAAGTAGGGGCACTTTTAGAATCGGGGCAACGAGACAAAGGCAACGGTGCTAGTTTGGAGCGTATTTCTAGTGTTTGGGCGAGTCGATCAAGTTCCCCCCGACTTGCCCCCGAGTTACCCCTGAGTTCCCCCCGACTTGCCCCCGAGTTCCCCCCGAGTTCCCCCCGACTTGCCCCTGAGTTCCCCCCGACTTGCCCCTGAGTTCCCCCCGACTTCCCCCCGAGTTCCCCCCGAGTTCCCCCCGAGTTCCCCCCGACTTCCCCTTGAGTTACCCCCGAGTTACCCCCGAGTTACCCCTGAGTTACCCCCGAGTTACCCCCGAGTTGACCTGGCCCTCAGTCTGTCAGGGGTGGCGCTGGCCGGTGTAGGGCCCGACCTTCAGACGCGTGCGGCTGCACCGGACTGCACAGTGGAGCGGGCCAGAAACACGAGACTCGCTTGGAAGGGCGGGTCTGGCAGCCGGAGCGTGGCAGCGTGGCGAAATTGGTCCAAAGATTCGGTTCTTTCCAGAGTCCGTGCGGGCGGAGGCGGACCCGGCAGTCCATCCCTTGCGACGGTTTTCCCATCTGGCCTGCCCGTCGTCGTCGTCGTCGTCGTCGCATCGAATGACAGCCACATGCCGGCCTTGACGGCGAGGGTCGGGGCCACGGCCGCCACCCACCAGCACGCCGACGGGGAGAGCCGAAAACCGCTGCGGACGCCGGGCCTCACTCTCAGATGCTCCTTTCAGATTGCCCCCCCCCCCTCCCCAGCCCCACCTGGCCGAGCCGCACCGGTGACTGCCCCTTTTAAGTTTCCCTCCCTCTGTCCTTGGTCCTTGTCGCTCGGCAAGGCGATTAACGATCTCTCTCTCTTTGTCCGACTGCGACTCCCTCGCCCGCTCCCCCGCCTCCGTTTATTTTAATTCTATTTTCATCCGAGCTTGTCCGGGACAAAAGCTTGTGAATGCAAAGGACGTATCGGGACCCTCCCTCCCTTTTCTGCAGCCGCGACATGCATTATCGCCATTTGCTTCCGCCGAGGAGAATCCCTGATGAAGTCGGACCGCGCGCATCTGCCGGAACACACACACAAAAAAATAAAAAAAATAAGGAGACGGTGCCTTTTGCGGGTGAAACGCGATCCGGAGCGCCCGCGGAGTCGAGGGTAGGCAGCCCGGCGCGCAGCGGAGGCTGCAAGTCCCGGGGGCTGCCTACCTCGCTGCGCGCAGGGGCCCGGCCCCTTGCCCTAGCCTCGCCCCGGCCCTGGCCCTGGCTCGCCCCGGCCCGGCCCGGCCCCACCGTTGCTGCGGTGAGCTCGCGCGTCTTCTGGGGGTCCACACACATTTCAAGGCAGCAGACACGGCCACGTCAATAATTTGTGAGTGTGTGTCGTCCGTGTTTGTGTGTGTGTGTGTGTGTGTGAGAGGGAGAGAGACTTGTGTGTGTGGTGTCCCGCGGCGCAACGAGTGGTGGAGCGGGGCGGGCAGGCTCGCCGCGTCTTGGAAAACGAACCGCACGGTTTTCCCGCGTGACTTCCGGTCTGGCGCGACTTCCGTTGCAGCGTGACTTCCGGTCCCTCGCCAGTCGCTTTCGTCGGGGAGGACGGCTGTGTTGACGCTTCCGTCGTCCGCCGCGCGTTTTGTTTGTTTGTTTGTTTGTTTGTTTGTTGTCGTTCCGTTCGCGGTGCATTTGCGCCACTTCGATCTAACCACCACCGCGCTTCTCTGTTTCAGAAATACGTCAGCGAGGGCGTCACGGTCCGCGCCTGTTCCGATGAGTGCATCGAAAAAGGTCGGCCGAAAGCCAAGCAGTTCCCTGCTTATTTTCGCTCTTTTCGAAACTTTTTCCTCTCGTGGAAGGTGACCGTGTGTGTGTTTGTGATGCAGAGTCGTCGTGGGGCGGCTACCACTACTGCTGCAAGACGGACGCCTGCAACGGCGCCACGCCACGCGACGCCTCCCCGTTGGCGGTGCTGCTGAGCGTCGGCGTCGTCCTGTGGGGCTGGGGCCGCCAGGGGGTCGCCAACCAGCAGCGCTAGGCCCTGCTAGGCCGCACCGTCTCCGAGGCCGCCGCCACCGAGGCCGCCGCCACCGAGGCCACCGCCACCCAGTCCACCACGGTAGTCACTGACGGCCTCGCTGCGCGCACTCGCCTACTACATCCCAACCAAAACAAGAAGAAAACAAAAGAGATGAAAGAACCAGACCGGTTCTTTTGTAAAATAATAAAAAAAAAACTGCCGCTACGACGCGTCAGCAATGTCGTCGGGAATTATTATTTCAATCGCTGTCTTTTCCTCCCAGCTAATTTCTCGTTTTAGAAAAGAGTCACCTGGGGTCACGCGCTGATTTCTTTTCGTTTCCTTTACAAAAAAAAATACTTTGGAGGTGCAAAATTGCATTTTCTCTCACTGGCGTAGCCAAGACTTAGCCCTAAAAAAGCTGAAAAATGTAAAAACAAGACTTTTTGGTTGGTCAGTTTGTCAGTTTCACTGCCACATGGTCGTTTTTCGCTGCGGGAAAGAGGCTATTTTTCCGAGACGTTTGAGTGAAGCAACGCTCAACTAAATTTGCCGGACGAGAGAGGGATGAGGTGGCAATCCTGGACGAGAACTGGAGGGCGTTTTCGTGCAGCCCGAGCATTATTTCTCAGCCACGCGACCTGCGATTTTCGACTCTATTTATTTTTCCTTTTCTTTGTTCTTTATAGTTGCCTCTGTTGGTTGGTGCCTCATCTACAATTAAACGCTAACCTCCTAGCGCGGCACAATTATTTCATGTCGAAAAAAAAATAGCATGCATGCATAAAAGATATTTTCATGACTTATTCAATTTTACGGTGCTAAATGATAGCGAGTCAACGTGCTTTAATTCAGTAATTGATAGAGCGGTAAGAAAGGAAGATAGTTGAAAAATAGAAACGAATTGTGGGGCCCCATCTCGCTGCTCGCACCCCCAGCCCCCGGCCCGGTGGAAGAGGGGCCACACACGGCAACAAATCTTGTGTTTTGATGCCAGTTCTGCAGGAGCGGTTTCCCGTAGTGTCAGTAAGGGCCTGGCAGTACCATTTAAGACCAACTAGATTAACTATGTCGTTTTTGATGAGATAAACAAACAATCCTTCGACCTGCTTTACGATATCAAGTCTGTTGTTAAAATTTTAGCAAAGTCATATTCGTATTGTTCTTTAATATTTGATATCAAACGGTCTTCCAAATCTGCTATTTTCACTGGTTTGTGTCGTGTTGGAGTCAACATATGCTTGGAAACATCATTACTGGTTAAAAAGGTGGTCTGTAAGAGCCCAAAAAGAAGCGCGCCAAAATTGATCTCGGCTACCATCACCCACCCGAAAGTAGTAGTGAATGCGGTCCACACATGAGAACCAGCCGCTACGGAGGATTGATTGAACTTTCCAAGCGAAATCCCCTTCGACATGCGATTAAAATGGATTTCATCAGTCCTTTTTGAACAATCTGCCCGTTTTTCGAGTGAGCTTTCTACGTGCGACGGGTTTGTTTCTGTCAAATTTTCAATGCCTATTATTATAGAGCGACTAGCTTCATTTATTTTACTACGATCCAGCTTTCGTAACACATACATTATGTACTTACGGAGGAGTAAATAAGTTATTGATACTCAGAAATATAGAATAATAACATTGCAGAATAATTTGATTGACATCAATCAGTTGTGCAGTAACAGCACGCAAAAGAAAAATTCTACCACTCGCTGATTTATTCCATTCACAGTAAAGGTAAACTCCACAATTTGTGAGGTGGCCTGGTCGCCTAAATGGCAGCTATTTACAGACAGTGCCCCAGCGAACCAATATTTGAAAACGCCGGCCACCTGCACGAACCGTGGAGCTTACTCTTACTGTGTCGTTTTGTATTATTGATTGATCCTTAGAGAAAAGTATATTATTAACGTTACAAATTCGATTCTAAGTGTTAAATTTTGACGTATGTCTTGTTTTAAAATGTACCTATCGCTGAAGTTAGTTTTCTTCGTTTTTGTAATATGTCTGTTATTATCACTAGAGGGTCGAACAAACCGGAAGGATCTTCAACCGTTCTCTCTGTCACGTAGCAGGTCAAGACGAAGGGCAAAATGATGGACAAAATGAAGCTCGTATTTCGAACGGGGAAACGTCCTTCGAGTTCCAAAAAGTCAGGGTGGGATTTGCTAAAACAATGCCCCCCCCCCCGCGACCTTCTAGTGTAATAACGCATGGAGAAAAAAAAGTTATGAATAATAATCAAGTATCGAGTATATTATGAGCTAATATAAATTCATTCCAAGATTTTTATAATGCCTGCATACCAAGCTCATTTGATATGCAACAAATGGTCGTCAGGGCAGGAGCCTGCGGGCCATTTCTTGCATTAGTGAAATTGAAACTAAATGAGTTCGTTCAGTTAGAGTGCACTTTTTCATGTGGAAGCTACTGCTGAAACTTGATGCTTTCGGTAGACTTTTTGATTGAAAGCACCAATATAAAAATACGAGGTACTTCCCTCTTGTTGATGCCACCTCCTCCTTTGCATCGGCGCGCGAGGAACATGGCGGGGAAGTCTTAACTGCACGTTTTTAGTCGGTAGAGAACAAAACGGAGCTAGCAATCTTGTCGAATCTATTTCATTGTGGTTATTTAAGATACCAAAATTGTAAGTCAAGAAAATAAAAAAAAATAACGGTGGAAATTTTGTGTGGACTTTCTTTCCTTCTTTCTCCCAGAGTTTCCCCGTCAAGAACGGCCGGAGTTAACCATGGTCCTGCAGGTGCACGCGTGCCGCGGCTCAAGCCCCGTCGTACACGGCTCTGTCCTGTCCAAATGGTCCGCGGTCCCGCTCGGCTGGGCGGCTGGGTGCCTCGTTTTAGAATCTACACGCTTTGGTGCGCTTCCCGTTTCGATTCACACAAGCGTGGGGATTCTGCAGCGAGTCGCCCGGCCCTACAACACGCACGCCCTGCGACTGACATCACAACCAGGTGGGTCTTCTCTTCAAAGTAAACACGCTTCCACACAAACCGCCGGGCGAAAGCGGTGCCCGAGCCGTGGAAAACGGCCGGGAGAGAGGAGGGACGGGAGCTAGAAGAAGTCACATTTGCTACACTGTCTGCGACAAGGCCTGCGAGCGATCACGGCACACTTCCCCCAGATAATGAGTGAAACTCTCCGGTCGCGTCCTTGTCGACGCGCCTTCCACCGGAGGCTGCCCGAGGCTGCCGGAGACCTCCACTCGAACAACAAGACACATTGGAACAAGGGGTCGCTGATTGGAGAGTGGGCCGGCTCGGCTTCGCTTGGCTCGGCCGGATGGAACTCCAACAACTCTTCGTAAAGGGCCAAGGGAAAGGGCGCTCCAGTGTAGCTTTTTTATGACGACAGAGAACCGCGGGGCGAAAAGCTATCTGCTTAATCAGGGGGACGGACGGCTCTAGAAAGCTTTCCGGTCACCTCGGCGCCTCGGCCGCCGCGCCACTGACGCCAGCGCCCTCTGCCGGCGCGCCCGTGAACCGCGTGGAGCGGCGAGCGAAGCGGCAGGGAAGGCGACGGCGAGGCGACCCCGAGCGAGGAGTATCGCCGAACATCACCGCCCGCAGCGACCCACAGAGCGCGCTACAAGTCGGCAGGCTACTAACCTCCATCATCGCATTCCCTGCCTCTTGATGGCTCAGCGCAAGGATTCGATACCGTTTTGGTAAATGAAAGCTGGTGTTATTGAAGCTACGGAGCATTAAAGCTGGCTCGTCTGAGGAAAATCGATCAGGGTTGCATGCACTGACTTCATCCTTAGTTTCTGATATTTCGCAAAATTGGGGCCTATTTTACGTAACTCGGGTTCTCTCGTTCGAATACTTTTTCCACAGCAAATAAAAAAGAAATATTTTCAATCGTGTTTTCTGTACGCGTCATTCAGAATTTTAAGTTCGTTGGCAAATTTTCGTGTAACTTGTCAATGTTTACTATGTGGCAAGAAAACAGCAGACGAGAACAGCTGAGGAGCAGACGACGGACAACGCAAGTCAGCGCCCTGTCGCATTGGCTGGCATTGGCGACCTCCTTTCCCCCGCCCCCCGCCGCCTCGCCCCTCGCCATGCAGGCTCCCCCCTCCACCACAGAATTGCGTTGCATCTGTGCTTCGCCCTGCCCTTTGCCCTTGTCGAGGATTGAACCAAAATTGTTACCCGACAGTTTTCTGAAAATCACGAATTGTCACTTCCAAAAAACGATTTTTGAGGTTACTGGAATTTTTTCTCTCTCCGTAACAGACAGACTGCAGTCAAGGTTCTTACGTCTATCAATCAATTAACCATCCGCATGACGTCACAGTGTATTGTAGTGATGGCAAGTGCAAATGTTTGGCGACGAGGACAAATTATGAGATTTGGGACAGAATTACTGAGTAATTCAGCTCTTGCGTGAGTATTATACTTATTTATTACATTGTAGTCGCGTATAGAGTCGTTCGCACTGTGTTTTAGCCAACATTTCATTTACAATATTGAAAGAGAAAACGGGCGAATCATGTCCAGAAGGCAGCAGGCTTTGTTGCGGTGTCTGCCGATAACCTTGAGCGTGTGAAGATTTTGTTTCGTGTGCCATTTGTTCAAAGATTCTCAGACTATTAAATGATGAATGGAGAGTCGTAATTTATGGTGGAGTTCTTGAAGTTTGGACATAGTTTGGAACGAGTGTCATTCATGTCTTGCGTGGTTCGGAACGTGAATATGCAATGCTTGGGCCTACGGGGGATCGGAAAACTCCTCGAGAAAGTGACATCTTTCCCCGAAAAAAGTAGGTCATGGTGATGTTATATTGCTCAATACCTCTTGAATGAAAAGTTGTCTGGGGAAAACTGTTTGGACATGTCGTTGTAGAATTTAATTTAAAGCTTCTAGGGACTGCCTTTATAGAATCTAGCTTGTTGACTCTCTATTGAGTTCGCAAGCTGTTTGGTATCAGGCTAGCAGAAGTACCTTCCATTGGGCAGTCAGGCAGGAGTCAGTCCCCCGCGCAGTCGTCATATTGGTCACGTTTCGAACAAGGATTCGATATCCATGCAAAAATGAATGATTGTTGAAGTTCTTGACATGTTCAAAATAGCAAAATATGGTGAGCATTGTGGATTGTGTTTGTGCGGCCGACGAATCAGTGAACTCTGTGTTGGCAACAAGAAATAAAGCAGTTGTGACATTGGGTGACCATGAAATGGCACGTATCAACGCGACTTGTTCTCAATGAAACAAATTCTCGCCTTTGTTCAATGGTAGTGTGTGTTTAGGTTATCTGTTTGGTTTCTCTCGTAGGTTTGATGCTTCTGTGAATATTTCAAGAGTTGTTTAGTTGCATTTATTGTCATGAGTCTTTGGTTGTGTCACTACCATTATGTGTCTTTTCAGACTCAGCTGATGTGCCTAGTGCTTGGTGATGATCAGTGTGAAACAAGTTAACAAAGTCCACCAAAAGTTATGGTGGTGTGGGGAACAGCATTTATATTCATTTCGTATTATTATGAAGTGGAACCTGGTTCAAACAGGTATGAAGATATTTTGGAATTACTTTACAAACTGGGCCATTTGTAAACAACAGAGGTTTATTTATAAATCATCCTTCATCTTCATGTTTTTGTTATCCTTTGGTTTCATTTCTTTGAGATAATCCTTTGTTTACTGTTGGTGAACTTTGATTTGCTTTAAAGTATACCTTCTGTGTATTGCATAGTACAAAATTTTATTTCTGACCTGTTGGATGTTATGGTTTTGCACATATTTTGCTATCAGTTGATTTTTGTCCAGACAATTCCAATAGTGGCTACCTTTCTGAATACACCTGTTTTCAATTCATAATAGCTGTTTCATGAGCTGCTTTGTTAATTCCTTACATTTTCTTTCTTGGAATAAAAACATCACTTTGTGCTCAATTATCTCTCTTCTCTATAAATTTTGTTCTCTGCTGTGAAATTAAATAGCAATTTTGTTCTCAAATTTTGTTTCAGGTCTGGAGGTGAGAGCCTATGATACCAGTTGATTTTATTCATTGAGTAGGCCATGGAGAGTCAAGCCACTGGTTCTGGTCTTGAGGAAGGCCCATCACATCATGCTCGGAGGCCTATGAATGCCTTCCTCATATTTTGCAAACGACATCGTCCTATTGTTCGTGAGCGTTATCCTCATCTCGAAAACAGAGCAGTTACAAAGATACTTGGGGAATGGTGGGCAAATTTAGAACGTGAAGAGAAAGCATCTTACACTGAATTGGCAGCCCAGGTATAATTGAATTTTATCGTCTAGATATCAATTTTTGGTTGAGTTATTCTTTTCTCATTCTTTTGTGATTGTTTCAGTACAAGGATGCATTTTTGAAAGCTCACCCAGATTTTAAGTGGTATAAACTTCCAGCTCCACCTTTGCGCCTCTTGAATACAAGGCCAAATAACACAGTGAAAGCTCCCAAACCATCTACAGGTGTCATCACCCCTGGAAAGCTTGCGGGTAAGCTGCCTCATGTTCCTGAACAAGGGAGAAAAAAGATGTTGAAAGAGCTCTCAGTTATTTATCTTTGCCCTACAGATGAGACACAGCTCGGTGGACTGAGTAGCCTGCTTGCTGCCACATCGTCAACTTCATCTGCATCTTCAAGTGCTTGTGCAACTGTAACAGAAAGCAGCCCTGTAAACAGTGCATCAGAGTGTGGACATCACCCTAGTGAAAAAGACAGTGGAGCTGTTTCTGAGAACTCTGACAAAAGTGAAAATGGCTCAAAATCAACTGTTACTCTGTCAACGTCAACTAGCATTGACACATCCAAAGCCTCAAAGGTGGCTCCAACTGTGGCTGTTACTCATGACACTTTGACAACTCCAACAATTTCATCAGCAGGGCGACAATCTTCAGTGCCAAATGTGCCTGCAATTCCTTCAACGCCTAACTTGCCCATCTTCCCCATGCAGCCCTTGACCTTGAACATTATCTCCTCTGACTCTCCTACATCAGCTAGTGCTGCATCTCTTCTTGTTGACCTCAATGTTACTGCAGGTTCAGTGCAGAAATCCCCTCCAGCTCTTGCTTTATCTTCTAAGATGACAAATCTTCCTTCACCTCCCTCTACTCCTCCATCGCCACTTACCCCCAATAATCCTAATGTACCACGGCCTCCGAAGAAACGGTACCTTCAACAGGCACTTGTTGCATCCATGCATGATGTAAGTACTTTGTTTAATTCTTGTTTAATGCTTTATCCTGCTCGCAATAATGAAACATGTTATATTTCTAGGGTGGAGAGCCTGAAAGCCCTTCACACTCAGCTTACAGTGATGACAATGAGGGCAAGATGGTGGTGTCTCCTGCTTTGCACTTTGATTTCAACAAAATACTTACTAAAAATGAAAATGGTGGGGATGGCCCTGATCTCTCCCCTTCAAATGAGCCGCAAAATGAGGACATCTCAAAAACTGAAAATTCAGATGAAATTCAAAATGCACTCAAGGCTGAGGGTGAAGATGATTGTAAAGAAACAACGTTTCAAACATCACAACAACAATTAATTGAACGAGTAGTTGACCGCCTCTGTCGTTTCTCCGGGAAAATGCCTTTAAATACGCCTGAAAGTTCTGCTGAAATGGAAGGGGATCATGCAATGACTTCTTCGGAAGCTGTTCCACCCAATAGCTGCTCTGAAGAAGGTTCTAACCAGCATTTGAAAGAAGACAAGGAGTCGCTCGAGGTTCAATGTAAAGTTGAAAGTAAAGGAGAAGTGGGCGAGTTGAAGAATATTATACCTGATGATCCTGGTAAGAGCAGTGCGCAGGTAGTCAAACAGCTAACATTCGACCATGAATTGTCTGATGACAATGCAGCTGCATCTGTGGAAATCACAACTTCAAATGTAGAAACTGTCTCAACTGAGGTAAATAAAATTGAGATTGAACAGGCTATCTCAGGCACTTCTAAAGGGAGCTGTTTCACAGTCAGTGCTACTGGAAGTACTGTTTCGTATGAACCTATTCTACAGAAAACTGAACATGCCACTATTCCTTCTGGTCTTACCTCAAGTAACATTTCTGAAATTCAGAGCATTGTTGGGCAAGTTGATACCAGCTGCATAGAACACTGTGACAGTGATGAAGTTGCAGCAGCAGTGGGTCTTTTGAGTCTTCCCTTTAAAACTGTTGTCAGCCCTTCAGAAAGTATGGAAAGTGGTGAAGAAGCTGATGATGGAGAACAAGGCAATATGTCTCAGAGTTCCAATCCCAGTTCTGAGGGGAGGAGGAGCTCCTCTCGAGCTTGTAAGGGGCAAAGATATCGAGAGTTTATGATGGAGGGAGGCCTCACAAGAGGTCGCAAAGGCCGAAGAGGAATGTTCAAGTAAGCTCCTACTTTACACTTGTTTTATGGTTCTCTTCATTTTTGTTTTTATTTACGTGTGTAATGTTTTTTGCTATATTTCTTTTCCAGACAAGAAGATATGGTCAACAGTTTCCTCTCACCTCAAAAGTTTAAGGAACACAGAGAATATTTTCAAAGTGGAAGTGGCTCTTTTCAACTGGATATGTACAAAAAAGGCTCAAGGAAAGATCATTCATTTAAAAGAAGGTCTGAGGATCAGGATTGTTTACCCTTCGGAAAATCAAGGAAAACTGATACTGAGACTCATGGCCCTGGGTCTAATCTTGGTTCCCTCATGCATTCTGGATCATCTGGAAACTTTGGCCAAAATATGCAGCTGCAGTTCATCCCTGCCAGCTCAGCTGATGACTCCCTTAATAGAGTTCTTCACTTGGAAGGAGCTATCACCTCTCCTGTGACATCCACCCCTGCTTCAACAACAGAATTGCAAAAGGAAACTTCTCATCAGGAATATAATCAATTTGGAGACAGTGCAAACCTGGAGGACAGTCCTTCAGGACAGGCTAATTCTAGTAGTCACATAGGTCTCCCTGAAAAGCAGGAATCCGCAGTTATAAGCAAGCCCATTAAGAACAAACCCTACAAGATCGTAAAAAAGAAAAACCTCATGAAAAAAAATAGGTAACTAATGATATAATAAATTTATTTTAATATTATTTTATACATGTTTAGTTTGTCTAATTTTGGCAACACTTTTCAGCTTTGATAAGAATGCAAGCAGCCCTTCCACTTTGGGTTTCGACTCATTGCAGGGTTCCCAATCTCGGTAAGTGAAATACAGCTGGATACAAATTTTCAGTCCCTGGGGTCGTATAAGTTTTGTCTATCTGTGTTCCTTTTTTTTTTTGGACTAACCTTTTTTACTCTGGTAACTTTCAGTGACTTCAATTTAGAAGAACGTATTGGTGCTCTTCCTGCTCTCAGTTTGGAACAGTTTCAACAAAGGAAGAAAGCTCGAAAGAAAAGAACAAGTGATAGCACGGTGTCTGATCATGATCGAATGAGATCTCAAGATTATCTGCCCAAAGTCTCCAGGAAGCATCGTTTTCATCATAGTGCAAAGAGTTCTTCTTTTGTTAGTGACATGCCAAAGTCTAGTCAGATAAACTTCATGAAACTGGGTGAATCAGTTGCCTCTCACAATGTTTTTAATGAGACAAACAATAATGACCCCTCAAGTGTACCATCCAAAAGATTGCAAGAAAGTGAAGGGAAAGATATAGGGGGTGTGCCAGATAAATTTTCATTTAGAAAGAAAGTGAGGAACGAAGCCTTGCAAGCAAAGAGTAGTGACCTGTGGAATACTGAGATGAGGCTGTTTGATGGTACCGGCACATTGAAACGAAGAAGCGGTTTGAAAAAGATCAGATGCTCAGCAGATGCTACATCCCCAAATCCATCTGTTATGAGACTATCAGGCAATTCGGGAACCAATTCTACCAGTCTTGCAGTCACCGTTACTTGCAGTAGCAGATGTCCAACTGATTCTCATGGAACCCCGACGACAATGAACAATAATAACATCACCAACAAAAATGAAGGTAGTTCTTTTTCCCACTATCATCTTGATCCTTTTCAGTAAACTTTGAATTAATGAGAATTTTTTAAATTTCAGATGCTCATTCCTTGTTACCAAGCTTAGTGGGAAGTCAGAAGAGGAAAGCTCGTAAGCAGAGTATAACTAGACGCACACCGGGGTCTGCAGCAAGCATGAAAGGTATTATTATTAAGAGAGTTTTCATATTGCCTGGTGTGTTAAGCTAGCAATATCCAAAAATTGCCATTTACCATTTGTTTAGATACTGCTGTCCTGGAGCCATCAGTTATATGTGACGTCTTTGGTCTGGCCACCCTTGCTGAAGTTGCTGCTGCCAAAGTTCACCTGTGAATTTATTCATCAAGTAAAAGATTAACACAACTCTATCCCTAAAGTATTTTTTATAGAAGATTGTTATTAAATTGTTATTTGTGACTTGTTTTTTTTATCAGAATCAGACAGATCACAGTGATTCTACCACTAAATTTAGGAAATGATATTCATGTTTTAGAGGTGTTCTTTCCTTTGCACCCTATGCAACCTGAACTGTTTAGAAGTAAATCATGATTATCTGGCAAGTGTTAAATTTAAACTATATTTTAAGACAATTGTTTTCCAGATTGCTCATATTCAGCAGGAACTGAATACTGTTTCAAAATTGTAGGTATATGAACTTTGCCATCAAAGGTTAAATTGCAGACCATTGTAGGTATGATTTGTATCTAATTGCATTTGCAAGTTCATTTTTATTACAGTCGGTCCCACTAAGTGGCTCTGATATGTTTTCAAATTAATTTTCAATGCAAAAAACATCATGAGATTGTCCCATCTTTTCTTACTATATTCATGGCACTTAGATGTGACCCGACTCAAAGGCAGTGACTGGTGTTTATGTATGATGTCTATTGTCAAAGTAAAGACTGTTTGGAACCAAATGTGTATATGAACATTTCTAAGCTGGTTTGGGTAGATTTGATTTTGGTTCACATAAATTTGTGATAGGACCATGTATTTGAGTGCACACAGTAATGTAGACCTTCCTTGGTGGTGTTTCTATCTTGTTCTCTGCTTCAGGCTAGTTTCCAAAAATATAAAAGTAATTTTTTAGATTTTGCCGCAATGTTTTACATCACATCAAAAGAATGCCAGGTGTGCCTTTGCTCTTCTTTCTTTCTGCAAGTTACAACCAACTGCTAGTAAGTGACTGTTTCTTGTGGTCTGAGAGTCAAATTTGTAACTTTCTTAAAACTCAAATCTTTTTGTTGTTTTACAAAATTTGGAAGACTCTTCGATTCTAAGGTAAAAGGCTGATTGAATTTTAGTGTGGTTTGTAAGGCATTTCATAAACTTTTTTACATTTTTCCTAATAACACACTTCTTAGATTTTCCAAAGCTCAAGCAATAAATTCAATCATCTGAGTAGGAATATATTCCATCAGTAATTTGAGAACTTACAAGTGATCAGATCACTCTCAAACTCAGACTAGTTGTATCTGTTTTGTTACAATGAGCTTTTCTTTGAATTCTCTTATGACTGAGAGTGAGTGTGTAAATGGACCCTATTTTTGTGAAAAGTAATAGTTATTTTCCTGTAAATCCATTCTGAACATTTGTCTAGTTGCAATTTATCACATTGCAAACTACGATAGAAACAGTACTGCTTGTGAGATAAATGTTGTTGTTTGATCCTTGTGTCTTTGTGATACTAAATATGTAGTTGGCTTTGCTTGGTAATCTAGGTTGGACCTATTGTTAATGGACTGTCCAAATCTCTTACGTGAAAATTGACAAGTACGGTCCTGCATCAACTGTTTGAGTAGAGTTTATTGAACTTTATTTGTTCACATATCTCCTATATAAATGCATGACATTCTGGGTATGTTGAGATGGTTTTTTTGTGTGTGTTGTAGCATAAACAGAAAGCTTGGCATTTTCTTTGTTTAACATGTATTTGTTTGAATTGAAATTTATTCATTGACTGCAATGTAATTTTTATTTTGTTGCTTTTCTTTTTTTTTTAAAAAAAAAAGAGGAAGGATCTTCTATAATTGCTTTTGGTTTCATAATTGACGTTGCATTTTGTATTCAGTAAATTTAAGAATACCCAAGTGAGCTGGGTAAATGGTTGTTGAGGTATGAAGTTCATCCAGAAGTAAAGCATGTGGATCGTCTCTTGTTGGGGGACAGTCAAACTGCCTGGCTGCAACGTGCGCACTTATCAGCAACAAAAAACATGCAAACAAAGTGCAAAATGTTGCCTGCACTTGCTTCTGTGATTGTTCTGATTTCATACCCAATTTTATCATATTTGCAGAAATTGTATACTGTGAATATTTCTGTTTTATGATTCCACAGTCTCTCTTCAGATTGTGCCTTATTGGTTTGCCAATTTCTATAGTAACTTGTCCTCTCTTGCATTGTATATTCAATTACTATCTCTCATCATGTGTCTCAGGAAAGACCAATACTTTGCCATAATTTTCATTTTTCTAATAGTATGTGTTCCTTGGGACTGCCTACTTCAAAATCAGTAGACCAATGTGTGTTTGTTTTGTGGATACACCTCTACAAAATTTAAACTGTTTGAATTTGGATTAGTGTGGAAAAACTAGACTTACCATTTAGTACTGCCTTATTTCTTTAACCTTAAATTCAATGTAACTTGTTTCTTTCTAAGTGAAAGGACCACGCTAAGTTCTGCTTGGTACAATTACGTCTTTAAAACAATAACTATTTTTTGTCAAGTATTTTTAGATGTAACTACTTGAACTTGATGTTTTGTGATAAATTTTTAGTCTAAACCTCAATTAGTGGTAGGTTCAATCAATTAATTTCTGCACTTAGTTTGTAGTTGGGCTGTTGAAAATAATAATAATTTCATTTTCTCTTTACTGAGCACTGCGGGTTTAATAATTTAGCAATAATATGCTGCACCATTCCCCATATTGCTTCTTTTAGTTTTAAAGGGCCTCAGTTTCTAGTTTCAAGATAACTCGAGAAATTGAGCTTTTACTTCACTCACTGTCTTTTACCACAGTTGCTTCAGCTTCTTTCCCCTCCGCCACGGCACTAGTTCTTGACCAAATAGACCCCACATTTCTTTTCACGTGTGTTTTGGCTTTTATAATTAAATGGACTTAATATAAGATTTTGTGGTTTCCTGTTAGTTGTAATTAAGCGAAATATCTTGTATCTCAATGGCATTATCACCAAAATTTGACCTCTTCTGTTTTTGTTTATCTTGTCAATTGGAACGTTCTATTGAGGAATTCCCAGTTGTATGTTTTTTGTTTTGTTTTTCTTTTATTGCTTTAAGAGACTCTTGAAGCTGAGAAGTGGGTCAGATTTTAGTGGACTTTTTATGTTCACATTGAGAGTTATTCCAAAGTGAATCTTAACCATTTATTTGAAAACCTGCGTTGACAATATTACCCAAAGATCTGAAAGCAGAGGGAAAATGTATAGTTTCTTAGCCTTGAAATGTGTTACCTTGATATTTTCTTTTATATCTGACACATTTATGGCTATATAATGTCATATCAGAAGCCTCCAAACCATGATAAATTTGGGGCCATATTTTCTTATTGTTTGTTGTTGACCTGCTGCGAAGTATGTTAAACATGGATCGAGCTGGACATTATGCAATGGTTTTATGGAACTTGTTTGTTAGATGAGAATAACCATAAGACTGGTGGCTCATGGATTGAAACATGGTTCAATTAATTTGTAAGAATTTGAGTCATTGTATTCCTGTTGTGTAAGTACAACTTTGGTTGCAGGTTGCTGATGCATGTGATTTTCTACATTTTACCTCGTAGTTTTCCTCACACATACTAGGACTTTCTTTGAAAATGAGATGTTGCAAGGGAAAAGAATAAGTTTTCAGGGGCATAAGAAAAGAACAGAGCTATTGATTAATGTCATTTACAAAGGAGACATAATTATGAGAAATGGTTTTTACAATGTTTCTGTTTGATCTTAAAGAGTTTTGTGTTTTGTTTCCAATCATTTTAAAATTTTAAAATGTCTAGAAGGTGTTATATTTTGTTTTTCAATACAATTCTATGGATGTTATTATTTTAGTCAATCTTCGTGTGTGGATAAATTCCTGATTTCAGTAAAACTGAACATTTGAGAGAAAATAAATACAAAGATGTTGTCACTTGTGTTAATGTTGTCCATTATACAGTAGCTGTACTATTTTATTAATTTGGTGCTGTTTTAGTTGAAGTAACGCTGGAGCTTCTCAGGTTGATGTGTGACTTTACTTACCTCTAACATCGAAGCCATACATTTCTGAGTATTTCTTTCTTATTTAGTCAAGCTCTGTTTGTATTAGTATCATAGAATAAGTTCAATGCTTCTTAGTGGATACTCCGATTACTAAGAGGCCAGGGTCTTCTTTCCCAATCTGTTGTTACTGTTTGATAAATTTTTTAAGAGGTTCTTCTGCATCAGTGGAATGCGAGTGACCAACTGTAAATAGTTTGTTTTTGTCATTTACAATCATGAAAGTCTCCTTTGGTGCCATAATAGGGTTCTATCTTACAATATAAAAGTTGTAAACAACTTCTTTATTGATTTGTCTGTTATGTCTGTTACGTTTTCCTGTATATTTTAATGAAGTTTTAAGTTGTTCATGTTTTAAATCTGATTTTGATGGTGATGTAATGTGTGCAAAGAAAAACTAATTGTTAAATGCCTCAATAATTACAAATGTTATTTGTTGTTTTTTTTTTCTCTAAATTTTACTGTGTCAGAAACTCCCTGAATTTGCCAGTAGTACTTGGATAATCACAAGGTGTATTTATGTTTACTAAACTGTAAATATTGGCACATAGCATAGCTATGCAAGTGCTCAATTTAAATTTAATATGAACTATGATAAAAATGGAAGTACTGTATAAGAATGAAGCTTGTTGGCTGTTGTCTGAAGTGTTTCAGACTGAATGTTTTAAGTCCATTTAGCTCATTGGCTGAACTTAGTACCCAGTTGGTGAAGTCATTTATATACCTTCTCTATGGCCTATGTCCCAAATATTTTTGATTAGTGTACTTCAAAATTCTGGGACCACTATTGTAGATTAACAAAAACAACTTCACTATAAAAAAAAAATTCCGTCAAATTTATGTACAGTATGTTTATCCTTACTGCTTTTAGTTCTTGTTTAGTTTTGTTCAAACATTCAGGCTGTTGATTTCCTTCCATGTTCACAACCCCTTTTTCTGTACTACTCAATTACATTTTTGTCACATGAGATGCCCTTTTTCTTTGACAAATTTTTGTAGCCATAATGTATGGGAGGAGAACAATTTGTTTGACAACAACAAATTGAACAATTTGTATGGTGTCAACACTGACCTCAAAGTCCTATGAGCTTCTGAATTGTGAACTTACAAACTAAAGAGAATGTTTCTCATTGCACTTGGCTTTCTGTGAATGACATATATCTATCTTCTATATAAATATATATATATATATAATATGTATCAAATTGTTTCAACCATGTGTATCGCATATTGTAAATAAAGTAAATTATGTTTAAGTTTCGACAGTTTTATTTCACGTTACACAAACTGTACGCTGAATCTAAACTGCTGGTCCCACTTTGCTGTTCTCGCGGGGCTGTGCTGCAGACAGAACAGACGAACAGACCCAAGGTCGAGTCACGCTGTTTGTTGATTCCTGCTTGCCTGCTTTCAGGGCTTCTTCCAACCAGTCGCCGCCCTCTCCGTCTAGTGATGGCGGCCCGAATAGTTTCTCTTGCAGGCTCAATCTCCGCGGCTTTTTCAACTTGTGGATCAGGATACCCGTTCTGCCTTGCCTTGCTCGGCTGCACCTGCACCCATGTTACCAGTGCAGGACCTGCGCTAGCGCCCCGACGGCCCGGACCGGCGACAGGGCGCGGCAGCGCGGCCGGCCCCCTCCCCCTCCCCCTCCCCGTCCCCGCGGCCACTGTCCGCGTCCGCGACGGGGAACGACGGGCCGCCCCGCGCTGCCCCGCGCCCTCGTGGTGCCCGGTGCCCCGGCCGCCCGGCGCGGCCCCTTCCCGCACCACGCGACGCACAGCGACGCACACGCACGACGAGTTTGAGTTCGGATCGGAGTGGAGCGTTCGGAATAAGTTCGGAAAGAGGATCGGCGTCGGAGTGGGCGCCTGGGCGCCACCAGTACCAGCCTTAGCCTCCCGGGCCAGGAAGAGGGAAGAGGGGCACGGTGGTGGGGGAAGGACCGGGTGCGTGCTGCCGGTGGCCGCAGGCTGAAGAGGAAGAGACGAGAGGAGGCCGTCCCGACCCGCCTACCAGCCCAGCCCCTTCGGCTTGGGCCCCCTCCGCTCCCAACGCCGCCGGCCGCCGCACCGCCGCCGAGGCGCAACGCAACAGCTGCAGCTGCAGCAGTGTAGCCGCGACCGGGGCCGCGATAGTGTGAGTGAGTGTGTGTGCGGATTGGTGTGGATGCACGCCTTGACGCCGCGCCGCAGCAATGCCTCATACCAGCTGAGCTCCGCAGCGCGCCGCAGTCGCAGTAGCGCGCCAGGGAAGTCAACGGACGGCTCACGGCGTTGCGCGGAGCGCGGCGTTGTCGCCATGGAATGACCCCTGCGACACCGAGGCCCCGAGGCTCGCCGCCGACCCCCGTGGCCTAAACGCTGCCCTGGCCGACGTTGCCTGTCCGCTGTCCGCCTGCTTGCCTGCTTGGCTGCGCGGCCCCGCCGCACCGCGCCGCCGTCCCGCTGCCGGCCCGCGCCCCGCGTGGCCCCGCGCCGCACCGCCGTCCGTCGTGGGTGCTTGGCTGGGCTGGCCAAAGCGGCTACAGCCTGAGTCTGGCTCTGGCGTGCTTCCTTCGGCCCCAGACCGCGCTACGCCGCGCTACGCCGCGCCGCCTCTGAAGCCGCGTCTGCCGCGTCCCGTCGTCGTCCCAGCCGCCAGGCCGCCGCCTCGCCTCGCTCGACCCGCAGTGCCTCGCCTTGCCTCAGCGGTCCCCTGCCCGGACCCGGTACGCGTAGCAAGCGTAGCGAGCGTAGCGACGCGTCGTGAGAGGCTTCGAGGGGCACCCGTGGGGCAGGCCAGGCCTTAGCCAGGCCGGGCGGGCAGGGCAGGCCGCCTCGCTGAGACCGCTGAGACCGCCACCGCCGCAGGCTGCCAGCAGGCTACCAGCCCGAGTGAGAGGCCGGCCGGCCGGAGACCAGAGAGACCAGTACCCTGAACGAATCGGATCGGAACGGAACAAACCGAGCGACGGCTCGGCTAAGGCCCTCGGCTTCCTCGGCGCGACTCTCGCCTCGCCCCGATTGCCGATTACTGTGTCGTCGTACTCCACGGCGTGTCGTCTGTGCCGGCGACCGCCGCGGCCGCACCTCCCCGTCGACGCCGCCGACACCGTCCTCTGCGCCTAGCAGGCGAAGGCGGAGCAGATTGCGGCGTGCCGGCGGGCTTCCCTGCCGTCGCTCAAAAGCCGCGCTAGCCGCGCTTTTCGTGGAGGAAGACGACAGTGAAGACGTGTGTGTTTGTGTGCGTGTGTGCTTGCCTGTGTGTGGCCAGTGCTAGTGATTCAGTGCCAGAGGAAAGTGTGGTTACAGTGCGCATTGCCTTTCGGATACTGCAAGTCTCGCCGGAGCATGGGATAACTTTTTCATCTTGGCTGCCAAACGGTAAGTCTTCGGCCGGCGGCGTCTATTGTCCTTCCCCGGCCGCAGGGCCCGCACCCGCAGGGCAGCTTGGCAGGCTGGGTGACGCAGTGACGCGCAGGGCGCCAAATTTGGAGTGAGGGCAAGTCCAAGGGAAAGCCCTCTCTGCCAGGGGAGCTGGCCTGACACTGGTGGCAGACTTGTTGGGGCCTTTGTGTGGTGGCAACACTGCGTCCCCCCCCCCCCATTCCCCACCACAAAGCCGTGGAGTAGACACACTGGGCGGACGGGCCGGGCCGACGCGACGACGAGGTTCATTCATAAGGCGCGCCCCGCGGCCCCCGCGGCCCGCGGTGCAAAGTGCTTCCATGGCGAGCGGCCCCAGCGGCCCGGGGATCGGAGAGCACCGCGCTGGCGGACATGTCGGACAAGCCGGGTGTGCACTGGCCGCATGTACACTCGAAACCATGACGGCGAGGCGAAGCGCGAAGCGCGAAGCCGGCGAAACTCAGCGCGTTGCAGCGCTGGAAGAGCGCTGCCTCGCTGCCTGCACGCACACTGGAAGGAGCAGCGGCCTTAGCGGCCCGGCCCGGCCCAGCCCAGCCAGCAGGCCGCCGGCAGGCTGAGCCGCCGAGCCGCCGCAAGGCGCAAGCTCTGGGTTGCGAGCATCCTAGCACACTGCCAAGCCGCCAAGCGCTGCTGCAGCGAGGCAGAGGCAGCGAGGCTGTCCGCCTCGTCTGGGTTTCATCACCGCCTTGCCGCCACTCCACTGCCGCCCCGCGTCCCGCTCTAATCGCCGCATGCAAAAACGTTATCTCGGGAAGATGGCGGGGGCCGGGCCGTGTCATCGATAGTGTGGTTGTGTGTGTGTGTGTGTGTCACAGTGTCTGCATTTGCATGCGATGAGCCTGAACCTGCGGAAGTGTGTGGGCCACGCATGAGCCCCGCCCACCTAAGCCAGTGAAGTGACTCCTCGGACTCTGAAGGGAAAAGGGGGACATGGTGTTCTAGAGGTTTTGAAAAATCGGTCTTCTGAATTGTGTGGATAACGCTTTGAAAGGCGAACTGAGCCGCCCACGGCCGCCTGGCTGGCCGCCCTGCCGCGGGAAGGAAGGGCTCCAAGGGCCGGCGACCCGACCGGCCGACCCGTCGTTGTCGAAGGGCGATAAGACGATAAGATGAACGATATCCTAACGACTCGCCGCGACGTCGCCAGAGCGCGGCGCAGCGGATAACGCGAAGCGCGCAGTCCTCACCCACTTCGTCGACTTGAGGTTCAGTCATTTCCGGATTCCCCAAACACCTGGCCTGCATCCTGGCGCCAAACCACAATCCAGACCGGTGTCCACCAGCTGTCTCGTCTCTGTTGTGGTGTCTGTGTGGAAGGTGTGTGAGTGAGTGTTCCGAAGCCCCTTAGCTGCCTGTGTACCTGTCTGTCCGTCAGGCGCCGACCATTATACACACAAGTCGCTTTGTGCCTTATCATCGTCACACACACACACATGCACACACCGCTCCGTTACCTAACCAACGGTCTCACCTGCAGCACAAACACAAGCCTGATAAAGCGTGAATCCGCGTGCCTGTCCCTGCAAGTGGGGCTCGTCTACGGACCAAATGGACTGCTCCCCGATGAAGCGTTAAGCGGCATTTGGCGGCACTAAAGTGGCACGCGCGCCGGCGGCGCTGAGCTGTGCATTGGTTTGCGCGGGCCGGCCAGGGCCGGCGGGCGCCTTGACCGAACGGCCGATTGGCCGGCCAGCCGAACGGACGAATGGCCCTGGTCGGCCGGCTTGTTTTTGTTGAGCTTGTTAGGGTCGCTCACGCGGCTGTACGCGGCGTCTGCCTCCGGTGCCTAGCTCCGGTGAGCCTCTGCTCTGCCGGCTCTGCCCTCCACTTATAGCTGGCCGGCCGGCTGATTCCCAGCGAGGCCTCCTTCTCGTCGCACTGCTGGCTCGTCCCGTTCGGGCTGCGCCCGTGCCGCGACGGCACTCTGAATGAGGCGGCGCCCCCCACTCTAATTATCGTAATTGTTTGCCGTGTGCCTACATTGCCTAGGGATGGGCCGAGCCGTCGAGCCGCCGAGCCCCGTCAAACTGGTCTGGGCGCCGCCGCCGTCGCCCTGTGGGCCGTCGGTGTCGCGTGTCGCTAGGCTGTCTTCGTCAGGCTGTCTCGGTCGCTTGTTTCGGTCAGGCTGTCTTCGTTAGAATGTCTCTTCCAGGCGGTGTAGGTCAGGTTGTCTTCGTTAGGCTGTCTTCGTTGGGCTGTCTCGGTTAGGTTGTCTTCCTTAGATAGTTTTCGCTGGCTGTCTCTTCCAGGCTGTGGAGGTCACGTTGTCTTCGTTAAGCTGTCTCGGTCAGGGTGTCTTCGTTAGGCTGCTCGGTCTCGGTCAGTTGGTCTTCGTTAGGCTGTCTCCGTCAGGTTGTCTAGGTCATGTTGTCTTCGTGAACGCTGGTGTCTTTGTGGGGCTGTCTTCCCTTGCTGCGATGCCGCGCTGTTGGCCCGCTGTTGACGCTCCGCACGCCCGGCACGCCAAGAAGGCCTTAAGTGAGGTTAAGTTATGGTTCGTCTTCTGATTGGCCGCCGTCAACAAGCCGGAGCATCGCAGTCTGTTTTGGCGCCCGACCGAGGCAACCGTGACGGCGCAGGGCTGCTCAGGGCTGGACCCGGACTGCATTCCATCCTGCTCTGCGGAGTCTGCGGAGTAGTCTGCGGTCCAGGAGCAGGGTCCCCGCCGGGCGCTGGTTCGCGACCCCCCTGGGCCGGGTCGGTGGGGCCCTGGGTACCCTGGGCCGGGCCCCGCTGCCCCGCTGCCACCGCGCTGCACTGCCGCTCCCCTCCCCGCCGGAAGGTCGGGCCATTTGTATGTATTGGCTGTGCATTGTGTCGCCGGGACCAAAGTCCGCTCGCAGTGCCGG